ATTTAGCTTGTATTTAACGTGTTTGTGCCTATTTTGTTTGCTTGTTTCCCCATTAGACTGTGAGCTCCTCAGAGGACAGAGACTGTCTTTTGCCTCTTTTTGTATCTCCAGTGCTTAGTGCAGTGTCTGGCACGTAGTAGGCACTTAAGAAATGTTTCTTGACTGACTGAGTAGTCACAAAGAGAGGCAAAAGACAATCCCTGCCCTCAAAGAGCTCACAATCTAATGGGAAAACAACGAGCAAGTATGTACAAACAACCTATACGCAGGATAAATAAAAAATAATTAAGCAAAGGAAGGCATTAGAATTAAGAGGGCTTGGGCAAGCCTTCCTGTAGAAGGTGGGATTTTAGTTGGGACTTAAAGGAGCCAGTACATACAGAAGAGGAGGGAGAGCATTCCAGGCATGAGGAACAGTCAGAGAAAATGCCCAAAGCTGAGAGATGGAGGGTTTATGGAACAGCCAGGAGCCCAGTGTTCCCTGGATTGAAGAGTATGTGTGTGTGTGGAAGGGGTGGAAGGTGTTAGGAGACTGGAAGGGATGGAGGGATAGGTTATGAAGGGCTTTGAATGCCAAATGGAGGGTTTTGTATATGATTCTGGAGGTGATGGGGAACCACTGCAGTTTATTGAGTATGAAGGTGACATAGTCAGACTGGTGCTTTAAGACAATGACTTTAGAGACTGAATGAAGGATGGATTGGAGTGGGGAGAGACTTGAGGCAGGCAGACCACCCCCCCTCCCCAAACAAGCTATTCCAATAGTCCAGACATGAAGGGGTGAGGGCCTTTAAAGGGTAGGGGGGAGGTTGGCAGTGTCAGAGGAGAGAAGGGGGCATATTAGAAAGATGGTACAGAGGTGAAACTCACAGGCCTTGGCAACAGCTTAGATGGGGGGAGGGGGTTGTGAAGAGATAGTGAGGAGTCCAAGATGACTCTTAGGTGTTGAGCCTGGAGGACTAGGAGGATGTATAGTTCCCTTAACAGTAATAGGGAAATTTGGAAAGGGAGAGGTTTTAGAGGGAAAGAGAATATGTTCAATTTTGGATATGTTGAGTTCAAGCTGCCTACTGGACATCCAGTTCAAGGTGTCTGAAAGGCAATTGGAGATGTGAGATTGGAAGTCAACAGAGAGGTAGAGCTGAGAATCATCCTCCTGGAGATGATAATTAAATCCATGAGAGCTGATGAAATCATCAAGTGAAGAAGTATGGAAGGAGAAGAGGCCAAGGAGACAACAGATAGGTAGGAGGGGAACCAGGTGAGAGTGGTGTCCTGAAAGCCTAGAGGGAAAAAGTTGTCAAGGAGAAAAGAATAGTCAAGAGCGTCAAAGGCTTCAGAGAGGTCAAGAAGAATGAGGGTTGAGAAAAAAACGATTGGATTTGGAAGTTAGGAGATCACTGGTAACTTCAGTGGAATGAGGAGATCAGAAGTCAGTTTGTAGGGGGTGAAGAAAAGAACGGGAGGAGAGGAAGTGAAGGCATCTGTTGCAGATAACCTTCTTCATGAGTTTGGCCACAAAAGAGCATAGGATACTAGGTAGCAAAAATCAAGTGAGGGTTTTTTTGAGGATCGGGGAGACACGGGCATGTTTATAGGCAGTAGGGAAGGAGCCAGTGGACAGGGAGGGAGTCAGATGAGTGAAAATGGAGGTTACAGAGGGGCCAATGTGTTGGAGGAGATGGGATGGAATGGCATCTCTTGAACAAGTAGACAGGTTAGCCTTGGTAAAGGAGTAAGACCACCTCTGCATGGGAGACGGGAGTGAAGGAGGAGAGAGTGGCCAAAGGCATCTTAGAGAAAGGAGATGAGGAAGAGGGGAGAAGAGGGAGTTCATGGTGAATGGCCTCAATTTTTTCTGTAAAATTAGAGGCAAGATTCTGAGCTGAGAGAGGGGGAGCCATGGGAGGCTTGAGAGGGGATGAAAAGGTTTGGAAGAGCCACTGTGGAGAGGGGAGAGCAAATTGATAAGGGAGGTACAGTAAGACTGTCCAACAGCAGGGAGGATCCAGTTGTGATATAAATTCGCAGTGGACCCAGTCAGAACGTTTGCATGATTTTCTCCATCTTCATTCAGCAGCAGTGTGTAGAAGTGAAGGCAGATGATCATGGGTATGATCCAAGGCTGGGTCTTGGCAGGGCACAATTGGCGAAATGCTAAAGGACCCAGGGACTTAAGAGAAGAGAGCAGTGTAGATTTGAACTGGTTCACCAGATGATCAGGATGAGGAAAAGAAGAGCAAGTGGCTAGTGCAGGGGTAATGACCTGGGAAAGAACTGAGGAGTCAAGAGTCATAGTGTAGACAGAGAGGGGTTTGGGATGAGAAGGCAGAGGGAGAGGTGAAAAGCCAGTAGATAATGGTCAGACAAGGGGTAGAAGGGAAGGAGGGAGGAGGAAAATAACAGGGTCCACACTAACCAACAGTCCTGACTTTAGCCCCATAGGCCCAGCCCCCTGCCTCAGTTCCTCAGTGGTCTTGTTTCCCAGCCCCACTGTGGTTCCTCCTACAGATGTGCTGGGTGAAAGAGGCGTTTATAAGTAAGTCAGGTGCTCAGGGATGGGATGCCACCCCTTGCCCCCTTGGTTTCCCCTTCTTGTGGCCCACTGGCACTGCCAGCATCTCACCCTCTGCGGATATACAAGGGTCTACTGCCCAGACCTGGGCCCCTGTCTCTGCCTGTCCCTTTTGCTCTCTTCCTCTGCTAGCCCAGCTTTGTGCCCTCTCTGGGACACCCTGCCCCCTTCCCTGGGCACCTCCAGCCGTCCCCTGCCCAACTTTTCTCTCTTTTTCCAGACTTCATCAAACTGTTCCTCTTTGGTAAGTGACTAAAGTGATCAGAACCTCAGGCCTCCCTTGGACTGCCTGTCTCCTACTCTGTACTCTCCTAGCCTCATTCCCTCCTTCCTTATCCTCCATTTTCTCTTCCTCTCTCCTCAGTGTTCTCTCCCCTCTCCTGCTCTCCTTTTCTCACCTCTATTTCTACTGTTCTCCCTTCTCTCCTGTGGTTTCCCCATACTCCCATATTCTGGCATCTTTACCTGTCTATTCCCCATCCTCTCCCCTCCCCATGTCTCTCCCTCCCCCGTCCTTGTCTCCTGGGAGCTGGGGATCCAGGGAGGGGAAGGGGGAAGTGATGGTGGTGAGGTGCTTGAAAACCTGGGAAAGTACTCATGGGGATGAGTACTTCCCTGGGGTCAGCGGGTATGTAAGAGAAACTAAGCTAGTTTGGAATGGGACTGATCAAAGGAGGCCCCAGCTGTGCTGCAGGATGAACCAGTCTCTTCCCCTAGGGCCCCTGAGAGCCCTCCTGTCCTGGGGGTCCCGCCTGTGCTGAGCAGGTTCGAGTAAGTACAGAGTGGGGCTGGCCTCGCCTGGCCTCGCTCGGGACTTTGTGCTCCCTGCTTCAGAACTGCTTCCCCATGTGCAACAGGGACCCTCCAGGTACCCCGAGACAGGGGCATTCCTCCCCCTCAGTTCCACATCTGGCTCCTATCCGAGCTCTTCAGAAGACCCAGAAACAGCTTCCTGGACTGGCCCAATAAAGGGCCTAGCAAACGGAATAGTTAACTATATACCAAGCACCCCCTAGCCCAGTTGAGAAAGACCATGGGATCATAGTAGACCTTTTGAATCCAAAGCAATGATATTCCTGTTAAGATCTAACCTGATACTGATCTGAGGAATCAGGATAGTGGGGAAGAGCTTCAGCCCAGCTCAGGCCCCAGTGCCTTACCTAGCTCTCTAGCTGAATGGCTAATGGAGATTTGGGATAGCCTGGGGTACAGACAGAGAAGAGATCTAGGGATAAGTGGAAGGCCAGGACTTAAGAAGACACTGGAAAGAGCCATAGAAGACTTGGCCTATGTTAGAGGCTATGAGGCTATGAAGCACTGCCCTGGTATGATAAGGCTGACGCAGGGAGCTAAGGATGGGCTCACCCAGAAGGGTAATGGTGACTACATTTGTGATGACCCTAACTCAGGACTGTGTCAAGGAAGGTGCTAGCCCTCCACTTCCCCTGAGGCCCAAATCCAAGCTTGTGGACCTCAAAATAAATTGTACAAAACCATTTCAAAAGGGAAAAAAAATGGTTTTTAAACAGTATCAAAAAAATCCTGAATGGGTTCAACCATCCAATCAAACTATTTCTCTGACCAGGAGTCAGAAATTCCGGACAGAAGCAGAGAGCTGAACATGATGGCCTTTGAATCCTTGGCAAATGAGAAGAGGGAATGCGGTTGGGGGGATGGGGGTACTGCTTTCCACTTAAGATCCTATAAGCTGGAAGGAAACATGGAGATTGCCTAGTTCATTTCCAACATTTTACAGATAAAGAAAGGGAGGCCTAGATCTAAGTGACTTACCCAAAGTCACAGTTAGTAAGTGGCAGAGGTTTCAATCCCAGGCCCTCCAAAGCCAAATCCATGCTCTCTGCTCACTGCATGGGCTGCTATTTGCATGGGCTGTGTGTGCCCGTGAATGTATGTAGGGGTGTGTGTGTTTGCCAAGGAAAGAGTCCTGGCCCATGGAAAGTAGGCCTCAGGTTTTATAGCAAGTAGGCTTGCTGCTGGCTAGCAGGGGTGGGCCCGAGTACCCTAGGCACTGAGGAAGGTAGGCTGGAGAGGGACCCAAGATTGGGCACCAATGGGAGCTCTCCTGCAGAGCCCGTTTCCTGGAGAATGTGGCAGCAGCTGAAACGGAGAAGCAGGCTGCCTTGGCCCAGGGTCGGGCAGAGGCCCTAGCTGGGGCCGTGCCAGATGAGTTTGATGGACACCCAGGTGAGGAGTTGTTGGGGAGGGCTGGGGGGTCGCTTCTCCAAGGACTCCTAAGGTACTCCTCTCCCCCAGACTGGAGATTCTCTGAATCCTCTCTGCCCCCTAGTAGGAGGTGGTAGTATTGCCCTTACAAGCCCAAGAGGGGAGCTCTGCCTTTGGCTTGTAGGGTTACCTTGGTGATGACTTTCTTTCCTGTCTTCACAGACCCCCGAGAGCTGTGGAGCACCCCAGAGCCAGACCCCACCCCCCGCACCCCTAGCACCCCAAGAAGTCCACTTCCCCGACCCCTGATCCTAGTCCAGCGAAGCCTGGAGTCTGAGGTCGTGACCCCAGAGGCTAATGTCACCTCAGAGCCACTCAAACCCCAGCCTTCTCTCCGAATCGGAGACTTGGACTTCTCTGACCTAGGGGAGGACGAAGACCAGGACTTGTTGGCCACCGAGTCATCTGGGGCCGGAGGAGATGTCTCGGCACCACCCCCCCTCCCTGGGAATCCCCCTCCCCCACCCCCTTTGCCCCCAGGATGCCCCCCGCCGCCTCCTCCACCCCCTGGGCTGCCCTCCCCTCCACCAGGTCCTTCTGTCATTGACGGTCCCATCCTCCCTCCTAAGAGGAAGACCGTGAAGTTGTTTTGGCGGGAGTTGAAGCCTGGAAAGGGAGTCAGAGGTGTGGGTCGGTTTGGCCCAAGCCCTACCCTGTGGGACTCACTGGAGCCTGTGACTTTGGACACTGCAAAGTTGGAACACCTGTTTGAGACAAGAGCCAAAGAAGTGACGTCCAACAAGGTACCTCCCTTATCCCCCCCGTGTGGGGGGAACCCGCAATCACAAAACCTAAGGCCTGGGGTAGGCTTTACAGGTCTTCAAGCCCACCCTCTTCATTTGAACCAGTGAGGAGATGAGGGCCAGAGACAGCAGGGTGCGTTGGGAAGAACACTGGGCTGGGCGTCAGGGGACCAGGCTCCAGTGTTCTCCTTCCCATTGTGAACCAGTCACCTGCTATAAAATGGAGAGTCGTCCATCCCAAAGAGGGGCTAGATGAGTTTGATGGACACCCATCCTTCTACACAATCCCAGGTTTCAAAAAGTGCCAGCCAAGTTAAGGGGCAGGACATTGGTCACCCAGAGTGTCAGCAGCAGAGCTGGGGACTGAAAGCCAGGTCTTTAGACCCAAGTCCAGGTTTCTTTCCATTGTACCACGCTGTTTCTGTGCTCTCAGGATCACCAGGGCAAGGTATGCCCTTTCCCTGACCCACTCTGAAGCCTCAACCCTAGGGGAGGAAGTAATGGGCCACCCTTCCCTACCTCTGCCCTCTCGGGGCCTGGATCCATCCCCTGCCCACCCTACCCACCCCTGCCCCCAAAGCTGGCTCTCACCCCAGCCTCGAATGACCCTTACAGAAAGCTGCTGAAGGCCGAAGGACGATGACGACAGTGCTGGACCCCAAACGAAGCAATGCCATCAACATTGGCCTCACGGCGCTGCCCCCCGTCCATGTCATCAAAGCGGCCCTGCTTGGTTTTGATGAGTTTGCTGTCAGCAAGGATGGCATTGAGGTGTGTTGGAGTGGGGATGGGAATTAGGAAGGGGAGGGAGGCTGTGATGGAAGGATGATGCCCATTCAGTAAAGACGGAAGCACCACCCTCCATCGGCCCCAGGTCCAACACCATCCCAACCCCAACCAGCCACTTGTGGGGGGTGCACCATCCTAGCTCTTTACTTAGGTACCAGCAAAGTCCCTTTTCCTCTTAAATCAGCAGAGAAATTTTTACTAGGAAACTGGGGGCGAGGGCAGGGGTGGGAATGGGTTGGGGGGAAGTTCACACAACCTCTTAGAAATAATATGTTTAGGGGTAGCTAGGTGGTGCAGTGGATAGAGCACCAGCCCTAAAGTCAGGAGGACCTGAGTTCAAATCCGGCCTCAGACCAAACCCTTGACACTTACTAGCTGTGTGACCCTGGGCAAGTCGTTTAACCCCAATTGCCTAAAAAGAGAAAAAAAAATATGTTTGCAGAGTAAAATCCTTAAATTCAGAGTTGTACTTCAACACCCTAATAAATGTTTACTGAATTGAATTTCATGGGTCTGGGAGGAGGGAACACCAGAGTCAGGAGCCATCTGAGGCTGTACCTCGGATCTCGCACTCGGCACCTGCAGAACCACAGGCAAGTCACTGCACGGCTCTCTGGGCCTCAGTCTCCTCATCTGTACAGTGGGAATCACTCTTAGACTACCTACTTCACAGGGCTGGGAAAAACCTCGTAAACCTCAGCAATTCATTTTTGTATCATTAATTATCTCATCCTGGCTTCTCCTCCTGTGAGTCTCTGAAAAACCACCCCAGAGGATCCACTCGGTGGGATGGAGGCTGTCCTCTTCCTGGGTTCACATTTTGTAGATACACGTGTTGCTACACTGTTACCCTCAGAAGCCCTATGTAGCCTACCTCTCTCCTTTTTCAGTTCAGCACGTCGTTTTATCTTTACTTCCTCCCTATGTGTATGTTACCATCCGTCATTCCAAGTTGTGATACTTAAGCACTGATAATACTTAAATCATCTAGGTCCCTTCCAGCTTTAGGGCATATGAACCTACTTCAACTGGGCCTCCTGTTGTGAAGAAGATGTTTTCTAAACCTTCAAGTGACAGAGAAATGGGGACAGGAAAGCCTCGTCCCAGATAGGCTTGAGGGGCATGGCTTAAGGGACACCTTCATTTCTGGGATTCTGTCTTCTCTGGGGAAAGTGGAGAGGAGGCCTCCTTGTGGGTGGCAGAGAGAGCCCTGGGTCTGGAGACAATGCCCTTGCTTTCAAACCCAAGCTCTCCCACTTCATAGACACACTCGAGGCCCCTGCACACTCATTTCCCCTTGGAGATTCAGTTTCCTTTTTGCCAAATTAGAACACTGGACTTCCAGCTGTAAATCCCACCTTCCATATCTACTTACTGAGTTCTATCCCTCAAGGAAGAGACTGAGACGGGAGTTCTAGTTAAGTCTCCTTAGCCAGGTAGGACAATGGGCTATTGATGGGCTAATGGATGCATGAGTCTGAGAAGGAAACCATTACTCTTAGAGATCTCAGTGAATCATATATGTGCCTTTGGTTCACCAAAGGGTCAGTGGTTTTCTTCTCAAATAGAATTCATTCATTGTCCTACTAATAGTCTGTTATCCTGAGGAGCAGATGGGTGATGCGGTAGACAGAATGCTGGGCCTGGAGTCAGGAAGACCTGAGTTCAAATCCAGTCTCAGACACTTAACTAGATATGGGATCTTGGACAAGTCATTTAACCTCTCTATGCCTCAGTTTCCCCCATCTGTAATGTATCTCACAGCCTATGTTACAGGGCTGCTGTGAGGATAAAATGAGACATTTGTAAATGTTTTGCAAACCTTAAAGTGCTCTCTAGGGGTAGCTAGGTGGTACAGTGGATAGAGCTCTGGCCTTGGAGTCAGGAGGACCTGAGTTCAAATCTGGCCTCAGATACTTGACACTTACTAGAGCTGTGTGACCCTGGGCAAGTCACTTAACCCTGATTGCCTCACCAATAAAAAAAAAGTGCTATCTAAATGCTAGCTGTCCCATCAATATGGGCACTACCACCCACTGTATAGATTGCAACCCATTGCTGGCTTCTCATCCTGTTTGACTCTTTCTCCACCCCAACTCCCCAATCGAATAAACCCTTTACACAGGGTCCACTTAACATACCAGGGACTTTCCTCTAGATTTTTAACATCACCACGCTATCCATGGCACAAACAAGCTGTATACTGGTTATCCCAGGGACTCAGTACGTGACTAGGCTTCCTCCTACTCCTCTCTGGTTTTGTCTCCCTCTTCTCCTGTGTGATTCCCAACTGGTCATATGTTGGTACCTACTCATGCCAACCACAGACCTTTCAGTTACCTCTTGGGGGATCTGCCACTTTAATTCTTTGGAGATAGGGCACTCCTTAACATGTAGTTATACAGCAGCCTACAGGTGGAAAGGATGAGCTTTTTCTTTTTTCCAGGGTTATTGAAAGAAGCACACATTTCCAAATAAAATTCGGTCCATTTTCTTCTTCCTAGTCCATTCCATTCTTAGTTCCTTGACCAGCTGGGGGCTGTCCATCTCTGTATCATGATCTGGCCAAAGGATATTTTTCATCCACTTGGCTTTTCCTGGGTAGAATTCAATCTGATCACACATTTATGCTGCACTTTAAGGGTTATAAAATGTGTTTCTAACCACAAACCTGTGAGGTAGGTAGTGCAAGGATTATTAATACTGTCTTTGGAAACTTGGAGAAAGAGACTTGGTCTGGGTCACCTAGCTAGTTGAGAGTGAGTGCTGAGATTTCACTGCCATCAGGCTGCTGCCTGGAGGCAAATCTGCTGGTTCCAGGCAGGGAATAATCCTGGTGTCCTTCCCATAACCTGCTGTTTGAAGTTTCTCTGTAACCTGGATGATGCCAACTGCTGCCCCATCCCCCAGGCTTTGGATAGGAGTTCCTTCCCATCTCCTTCTAGCAACACAACTCAATCCTAGCTCTGCCCACAGCTCCCCCAAGCTAGAAGTGGATTTCCCAAGGACAGAGGTCATTTGGTCCACACCTTTCCTTTTACAAGCAGGGAAACTAAGGAAGCTTGGAGAAAGGGGTGGAGTTCAGAGCTCAGGATTCACTCAGACCCCTCTGGTTTGGACTCATGTTTATGATAGTGGTAGAAAACTCAGGACTCGGAGCTTGGAGGAATTGACAAAATTCAAGGATTCCATCCCAGGGATCCTTGATCAGCTCCTGCATGCCATACACATTTCTTGCCAAACCTGACTCATCTTCCCAGATTGGCCAGTCAGGTGCCTTCGATTTCAGAATGTCACCTCTCAGTTTCTTCATCTTCCAAATGGGAGGGTGGCGGTATTCAGATCAGCATTCTAATGTCCCTTTCGCTCCAGTGATCTACAACCCATCTCTAGCCATCTAGACTGTCTCTTAGTTTTCCCACTAACCAAGGAGGGTCAAGGTCCATGATACTGACACATTAATCAGCCTCCACCTGGGGTATTCCAGGTTCCTACAGTTCCACCCAGTCCCCCAGAGGAATAAGTAGGTGGTCACACACCTTCCCCCTCACCACCTTGGGAAACATTTGCACTTCACAAATACCTAATGCATATAGCCATATGGTGAATTAGTCATATATTATGTAGTTAGATAGAAGACACCTGTACTTTCTACCTGCCAATCAAAAAGGGCAGCACCTTAGGAGTGATAGCACCATCCCAAGAGGGATTTTGCTATCATCTTGTTAAGGGCCAGGAGTTAACTCTGCACAGATGGAGGTGGGTCGGTGGGGTCACGGGAAACCTACAGAGAGAAATACAAGTTATACCTGTCCCAAAGATTTAAATTCTGGCCCATGTGTGACCTTAGGCAAATTGTTTTACTTGCTGGATGGGTCGATTCTGCTCTAAAATAAAAGGACTGGGCTCAGTGCTTCCTAGAACCCATCCAGCTCCAAAGACTGGCCCTATGACAAATATGGGGAGATACAAACTGGGGGGGCCATGGTGTATCCACAGAAGTTGCTGACAATGATGCCTACGGAGGAAGAAAAGCAGAAGATCCAAGAGGCGCAGCTGGCCAACCCGGACATCCCATTGGGTCCAGCTGAGAGCTTCCTGTTGACCCTCGCCTCCATTGGCGGTTTGGCTGCCCGCCTACAGTTATGGGCCTTTAAGCTAGATTATGAGACCATGGAACGGGTATGACTGAACCTGTTGGAGTAAGCCTGAGTCAGGTTGGAAGTAGGTATGGGAGGGAGTGGTACATTGGTATTTTGAGGCTCAATAGCAAACAAAGAAATGGTAGAAGAGTCAATTCTTTGCAGAAGGGCTAACAATAAAAGTCTGTTTTTTAAAAACAATTTTTTTCAAATGGTGGGACAAATATTTTTCATATGCCTCAGGATCAGAGGGTATCCAAGTGTAGTGACTGTGGGATTCCCTGTCCCCACCCTCTAGGAGATTGCAGAGCCACTGTTTGACCTGAAGCTGGGGATGGAACAGCTGGCCCAGAACCCTACCTTCCGCTGCATCCTGGCAACCCTGCTGGCTGTGGGCAATTTCCTCAATAACTCCCAGGTGAGTGGGACCAGAAAGGGGGAGAAGCTTAGCTGCCCCCCACTAAGGGGGTCCAGAACTCCTAGAGGACAAAGGAGGGGAGGGAGTTGGGTATTGCAGGCTGAACCTGTGGCCATTTCAGAGCAGTGGATTTGAGCTGAGCTATCTGGAGAAGGTGTCTGAGGTGAAAGACACAGTGCGGAGGCAGTCCCTGCTGTATCATCTCTGCACCCTGGTGCTCCAGAGCCAGCCAGAGTCCTCAGACCTCTACTCAGAGATTCCAGCCCTCACTCGGTGTGCCAAGGTCAGCTGGGGGAAATCAAGGCCCCACTGTCCCTCAATGTGGGGGAGGATGGTCGTGGGGGGCAATGAAGGGGGTGGGAGGAAGCTGTCTGCCCAGCTGTGAACCACATCACTGCTTCCAGGTGGACTTTGAGGTGCTGGCTGAGAACTTGGGGCAGCTAGAGTGGCGGAGCCAGGCAGCAGAGGAGAATCTGAAGAGCCTGACTAAACACGACCTAACGCCTGCCCTGCGTGCCCGCCTTACCCACTTTCTAAGCCAGTGTGCCAGGCGCATTGCCATGCTCAAAGTGGTACACCGACGCATGTGCAACAGGTGGGATGGGGATGCCGGGGAAGGGCAGAGGGGGCGCCTCAGGCGGAGGCTTGTAGGCCCGGCCTGATTGTCCAAACTCCCCCAGGTTCCACGCCTTCCTGCTATACTTAGGGTACCCAGCAGAAGCGGCCCGAGAGGTGCGAGTGATGCAGTTCTGCCAGACGCTTCGAGAGTTTGCCCTGGAGTACCGGACGTGCCGGGAGCGCGTTCTCCAACAGCAGCAGAAGCGGGCCACGTACCGTGAACGCAACAAGACCAGGGGGCGCATGATCACTGAGGTAACCCTCTCCAATCCATCAGTGCCTTTTCTGGGCTATGCAGTGACCCAGAGCTGACCCTTTCCCACTCCTGTCCAGACAGAGAAATTCTCATCGGTAGCTGAGAAAACCTCCTGCCTCCTTCCTGTGGCTGTGGGGAGTGGCCCAGGTCAGGGGGACAGGGACACAGATGTCACCATGCGCAGCATGTTGATCAGTGGGTCTGAAGCCCCAACCCACAACCGAAGGAGCCGAGGTAAGGGGGTGGGAGTCGGGGCTTTCAAGCATCGCTTCCTCCTCTTCCATTTCCTGAACCGGCCCCCATCTCTCCAGGCATGGTCCCCAACAACCCTCCTGCAGCAGCACTAGTGAGCCCAGCAACACCCCCAGAGGACAGCCCAGGCTTGGGCTCTCCCACCGACACTTCGGATGAGATCATGGACAGACTGGTGCAGTCTGTGACCCGCAGCAGCCCCCGGGCCCTGGCTGCCCGGGAGCGAAAGCGATCTCGGGGCAACAGAAAGTCCTGTAAGTAACAGCTCTCAAAAGATACTAAGAGCTCATGAGACCAACCTTGCTCACTTTACAAATAAGCCAGCTGAGGCCCCCAGAGGAAGGGACACCGTTTCCCAGTTCCACACTCTTTTCTTTCTCTTTTTTTTTTTTAATACTCTTTTCACCAACGCACCAATCCATTACTACTTCCTGCTTTGTTCTCCATTCCCTCTGGACCTGTAGGGGCCCTTACCCCATTGCCAAGCAATGTTGTTTCCTTTCTGCAGTGAGAAGGACCCTGAAGGGCGGCCTTGGTGAAGACCTGGTGCAGGCATTGGGACTGAGCAAAGGGCCAAGCCTGGAGGTGTGAAGGGGCATCCCCCACCACCTCCCACTCAAGGAGCCTCCTAGGGAGGTGCGGGGGATGGGCAGTGCGGGAGAAGAGGCGGAGAATAGGGCCCCCTCCTCCCAGCCATTTCATCACTTTGTGTGCCCTCAGGGCCCAGGGGCCTGAGCAGTATTATTGGTGTGTGAGCCTGTGTGTTGGGTGTATGTGTGGTCGTGTGAGAGAGATGTTCCTAGCCTAGAGGAATAAAGCTATTCCTTAACCAACCAGCTGTGCTCTTTCCTGCTGGAAGGCCCTTGAGCTACTGGGGAGGCACACGGGAGCTTTGTAGCCCAGCTGGGGACTCCGTCTTGGCATGGTGAAGTGTGCTGTGTCCCGCAGGTGCCCCCCAGCACGTCATCACAGACACACGCAGCTCCCAGCTTTGGCTTTTTATTATAACAAGCCACCCCCCTCCCTCTACCCACCCTGACCCAGTTCATCTAGATGTCCGGGTCCCATGGGCTGTCCGTTTCTCCTGGGCAGTCACAGGGCAGGACCCGGGCATTGGACAGGCAGGGCCTGCCCTGACCGGGAGAGCCTCGCTCAGTTCTGCTCAGTTCTGTAGCCGCGGCCGGCCTTCTGCCACCTCTGGCTACAACCGCTTCATCTGCCGGCGCTCCTGCCTTCGCTGACGCTTTTCGCTGGGCTCGGCAATGGAGTTGGCAGACTCGGCCGTGAGCCAGGGGCTCAGGATGTTTACCCACAGGAGGTAGAGCGCCCGGCCTGGAGCCTGGGAGGAAACAGGGCAACGAAGGACTTAGGCAGACTGGGCCACGGTGGGCTGCTGAAGAAGACAACAGTCTTCAAGTGTTCAGAAGGCAGAACTGAGACATGAGGGGCAATGAGGGCAGGAAGCCAGATTTCAGCTCAGCCTAAGTAAGAACTCTGTAACAGAGCCATCCACCTTGGAAGGTGGTGAGCTCTCCTGAGCTCAGAGCAGAAGCCTGGTGACTGCTTGTCAGGGATGGTTCCGAGGAGACCCCTGCCCAGGTACAGGGGGCAGGACAGATGAACTGCAAGGTTCCCCTCTGCCCCCAACTCAAGGCTGTGTATATGGGGTCTGAGCCACCCCCCTCCCAGGGCCAGGGCAAGACTCTTCAGCATCAGGCACAGATGACCCTCCCAGCCCCTCAGTCCTACTTACCAAGAGCCAGAAGTACCACACATAGAGGGAGAAACAGCTGAGCACTTGGACGATGGCTGTCAACAGGATCACATCCTTCAGGTGCCTTGTGGGGAGGTGGAGGCAGGGAAGGAACAGTCAGAGGCTGAGGTGAATTTAGGGGCCCCTGGGGATGATGGACTTGGAAAGGCCAGGGCCAGGGCCCCGGGGGGAAGGAGTGAGCTGGCAGCAGGTCCCGCTCACCTGGGCTGGCAGGGGACACTCACTCTGCCATTCCCTGCTCCATGTTGAGGTCAATGCCGCTGTCCGCCAGAGCCCCATCCTCTGAGAAGGCTGCCTTGGCCATGGAGCTCATGGAGCGGTAGCTGGCCCCATACACAACCGAGCTGAACACGAGGGCCGTCTGTGGGAAACACGGAGGGTCAGCACCACCAGGGGAGGCTGGGGGAGAAGGAAGAGATCTTGCCAGGCTGCCTCTGCCCAGGGGTAGCTGGGGTAGGGAGGGGTCAGAAAACATACCCAGGCCCAGAAAGATGCTGAAGAGTAGAAGATCACAAGGGTCACGATGCTGTAAACTGCCTGGAACCAGAAACACGGGCAGCAAGTCAGGACAAAGGGCAGAATCCTCAGCCGTCCGCCCTCCTCTTTGCTGGGATAACCTTCCTATGCTGACAGACACCCATAGTAGAAACCAACTCCCTCCCCTCTGCCGGGGACGGTAAAAGCTGAGGGGGAGAAGGGGTAAAAAAACTTTGTGGACACAAAGCCCCAGCATGTCAGGGAGTAGAAGACTGAGCTGGATATCCCTGAGAGTCTCTACTAGTGGAAACAAACTGTGCAGACCTGAGGACGGGGGAGGCAGGCCAGAGCTTCGTCCGGGGGTCCTGTACCCCACCCCACTCTGGCTTTCCCCAGTTTGGTTCTAATGAAGCCCATGATAAGCTTCAAAGGATAATGAATGAGCACTCAATGGGTGCTGCTCGCAGGTTTGACCTTTCACTTCTCTGAAATGCTTGCGAAAGACACTACCGGTATCTGCCAACTTCCAATTAACCCACAGTGCTCCTACTGCTTAATAAGAAGGACAACCTACTTCCAACACCCAGGACTCAGCGCCCAGCATCTCCATAGTTCCCACCCAACCCCAGGCCCAAGAGGTAGAAGCCCATCCCCAAAGTGATGGAGATCCCTCAATAACTCAAACCTCAGCATAAAGAGGGCATAGGAACACTCACAGTGGCACCCAGGATGATCCGAAAGTAGAATCTCAGGGTTTCCTTGTTCTCTTCAAATATCTGCTTCTTCCCCTTCGTGCCCACCTTTCCTTTGGGCTAAAGGCAAGTCAGCAAGAATTGGAGGCTTGGAGGAGACACTTCAGCAGGCCCAGCCCTGCCCCAACCTTTCATGCCTTCCCCCAACTTTTTCATTTAGTGCCTCTTCACCACCCCCCTCCCCTCAAAATACCTGGTCTGATTCATTCCAAAAGTCTATCCATAACCACCCAGCTCATCATCATCCTATTACCCAATATCCCTTCTGGTAGAGCTAGTCTTTGTACTACCCTTGGATACATGCCCTAACCATTCCCACCCACATGGGGGGGGTAGGTTCTCCCAACTCTTCGAGGTCCATAAGATCATAGTTTGGGGGCTGAAAGGGGCACGTCTCCTTATTTTATGAATGAGGAAACCAATCCCAAAGGGGTTAAGAGACTTGTCCAGGGTCACCCAGGCAGCAGAACCAGGACCCTTTAATTGATCTTCCCTACTCAAGAACCCTTAATGGCCCCACCTCACCTCTAAGGCCTGGTGTCTAGGATAAAATAGACACTGTACTCTTTGGCTTTTAAAGTCTCTTACAAGCTGCTTCCAGCCTACCCATAAGCCAAGCTTAGGGTACATCACTCTCACAAGGTCTTTGCGCCAGCCAGACTGGCCTGCAAAGTCCATCTCCCACCTTTGCACAGCCTGTTCCCCAATGCCTGGAATGCCCTCACTCCTCATCTCCACTCAGTAGAATATTAGAACCCCTCGCCTCCTTCACAGCTTGGCACAAGTGCCACCTCCCACAGGAAGCCTATCTTGGTGCATTCCCCCATGTGAGTGCTCTTCCCAGGGGAATTATTTTGAACCTAGTTTTATGTCATTTCCTTGGAAGAATGTATGCTATTGAAAGCAGGAAATGTTTCATTTTTGGTTCTGTATCTCCAGCAACTGGCATAGTGCCTCTATACTATATCACTTGAGATCTAAACAGTTCACACAGATTCAGTTATCATCTCTATGTCGATGGTTCTCAGATCTACTTATCCAGCCCTACTGACCACCAGTCTATAGCTCCAACTGGCTGGATGTCCCACAGACATCTAGTAGAATCAACATGTCCAGGGGCAGCTAGGTGGCGCTGTGGTTAGAGCTCTGGCCTTGGAGTCAGGAGGACCTGAGTTCAAATCTGGCCTCAGACACTTGACACTTATAGCTGTGTGACCCCGGGCAAGTCACTTAACCCCCATTGCCTCACCAAAAAGAAAAAAAAAATGAACATGTCCAAAACTGAAATCATCATCTTCCCCTCACCCCCACCCCAAGCCCTCCCCTCTCCTAACTTTCTTATTATGGTAGCCACCCAGGCTCACCTGGGTGACATCAACAATTCCTCTCTATCACCCCACCCCCATATTCAATCTCCTTCCAGGTTCTTTCTGACAATTCTACTTTCCTGACTTCTCCTATGTAAGCTCACTTTTCTTCTCTGACCCTCCAACCACCCTGGTGCAGGCCTTTTGGGCCTCCCTGCCTCAAATCTCTGCCTACTCCAGTTCAAACCCATTCAGCTCCCAAACTGATCTTCCTAAAGTGAAGATCAGACTGTGTCACCTCCCTATTAAATAAACTCCAGTAGTTTCCTATCACTTCTAGGAACAAATATAAAATTCTCCAATGTTCAAAGCCCTTCAAAACCTGGCCTCTTCTGACCTTTCCAGTCTTTTTACACCTCATACATACTTGGTATATCACTGTCACTGGCCACCTTGCTGTCCCCAGAAAAAGATACTCCATCTTTCTGATCAAAATATTTTATCTGGCTGTCCCTCAACCTGGAATGCTCTCCCTCCTATCTCCACTTCCTGTATACCTTCAAGTCCCTAATGCCAATACTTTCCTCCTGTTAATTATCTCCAATTTATCCTGTATATAGCTTGTTTGCACATTGCTTTTTGCACATTGTCTAACTCATTAGACTGCAAGATCCTTGAAGGCAGGGACTGTCTTTTGCCTCTTTTTGCATCCCTAGTGCTTAGCATTGTGCCTGGCACATTATACTTAATAAATATTTACTGACCTATTGATTCTGCTGTTCTTTGCACCCCCAGAGCTTAGCACTGAGCCTGGCACATAACTAGAGTTTAATGCTTGTTGATTCAACATTCTTTGACATAGAAGGGACTTACCAAATATCTGCTGATTGAACATGCCATCTTGGCACATTCTATCTAACCCCCTATTACATTACATCCCTTTGGGCCCCCACCTTGGCACATATGCCTCTCACTCCCCTTGGGCCCCCACCTTGGTACATTCCACTATGCCCCTCATTCCCCTTGGGCCCCCACCTTGGTACATTCCACTATGCCCCTTGCCCCTCATTCCCCTTGGGCCC